ATGTGATGTGATGTGATGTGATGTGATGTGATGTGATGTGATGTGATATGTGTGTATGTGATGTGTGTGTGTGTGTGTGTGTGTGTGTGTGTGTGTGTGTGTGTGGCTGGGGACAGAGAACGATGCCTGCACACGAGTTAAAGTATATATATATATATAGCATACTGTGTCTCTCTGTGCTCCATTTTAGCAGCTTTTGTAAATCTGAAATTATTTCTAAAGAAAAGGCTGAAAAAGAGAAAGAAAGAAAAGGCAGCTCCTGGGGGAGGGGGGCCAGCCAGGCCACCTGCCTTCTTTACCTTCGTCTCCATTTCTACTCTCCCCTCTTCTACACTGCCAGCTGCAGTGACCTCTCTTTGATGCTCGGTCTCAGGGCAGGGGCTTTTGCAACGGTGCTGTTTCTGTTACTGAAAGGCCACTGCAGAATGGCCAGCAAAGGTCTCCCTACATGCCTCAGCCCAATGTGCCCTCATGGAGAAACCTTCTAACCACCTTTTTTTTTTTTGGACCAGGTCTCAGTGTGTAGCCATCCTGGAACTCACTGGCCTCCAGCCCACAGAGATCCACCTGCTTCTGCCTCCCGAGTGCTGGAATTAAAGGCTTATGCCACTAGGCCCAACTGTGATCACCTACTTTAAGGCAGGCTGTCCACTCCGTGGTGCCCTCATTTCCTTCCCGGTTTCATTACAACATGAAATTGTATGTTCACTTGCTTGTCTAACCTACTAGACTATACATCTCTAGGAAGATGAGCTGAGCCTGTGTTCTGCCAACGTGGGCCCTCCACATTTTCAAGAATACAGCAGATTAGGGCAGTGGTGGCACACACCTTTAATCTCAACACTCGGGAGGCAGAGTTCTCTGAGTTCGAGGCCAGACTGGTCTACAGAGTGAGTTGGAGGACAGCCAGGGCTACACAGAGAAGCCCTATCTCAAAATCCCCCTCCCCTCTCCTCTCCTCCCCCAAAAGGAACCTTTGCTGGGCAGCAGTGATACATGCCTTTAATCCCAACACTCTCGGGAGGCAAAGGCAGGTGGATCTCTTGAGTTTGAGGCTAATCTGACTACAGAGTTCCAGGACAGCCAGAACTACACAGAGAAACCCTGTCTCAACTCCCCCATCCCCTGCAAAAAAAAAAAAAAAAAAAGTACAGCATACGGAACAGGAGTAACAGGCCTCCCTGCTCATCAAAGGGCAGGAGCACAGATGGATACAGGGAAGCTGACATTTTCCACCCCATGTACCTCTGGAGGGTGCTCAGAGTCCCCTCAAGGTCTCAGGTTTATTCAGCTCTGCTGAGCTCCCCAGAGCAAACACATCCTGGCTGGGGTTTCTAAATGTAGGCTTATTTCATATGTCATCACGTCCATCATGTCCCATGCCCTATGAAGTTACCAACTGGTGGCACAAGGAAGCCATCATGACAACGAAGAGCAGAAGGGCACCAGGGCATACGTACACACACTGACGCTGCCTTTGGTCTCCTTGTGTCTCAAGTGCAGGCAAGAGAAATCCTGGCTTTTCCTGTCCTTCTGACCCATCTATCCCCCTTCACCCGAGTTTCCTGGGTGCCTTGGCCCTCTCTGTCCCTCTCTAGAGATGTAGCTTCCCCTCCTTGGGCACATTCCTTCCCTCTTTCCCTGCCAACTTGGTCCTGAGTTAGCACTGAAACCATCTGCTCATCAAATCCTGTTGCCTAAGGTTTGGTGCTAGCTGAAGGGGTTCCGCAGTAATCATGTGGAAGTTTGGGCTGGGTGGCTTCCTCAAAAGCTCCTCCTTCCTGCTCTACAGCCAGCCCAAGCCGTTCTGTGGGGGCCTTTTAATGAGGGAACCCCGTCAAAGCTCTGGCACAGGCAGGCCATTGCTCGTATACGAGCAGGTGTTTCTCTTTTCCTGTCAGGAGTGACCAGTGCAATCGACTTCTGCTAAGTGGAAGTTGGCCCTCTGCCCATCTTCCCAGCTTGGGGCAACTCAGTGCCAAGGCCTGAAGAGGCAGATCAGCACATTAGCAGCCAAGCATGTCAACGTCCACCAGAGGGCGCCACGACATAGCTGTTGTCACTCTCCCCTCCTGGTCCCCTCTGCTCTTGCTGTAACTCCTGGGATGAGCCGGCACCTGCCCCCCGCCCCCGGACCCCGACACGAGGTATTCAACCCTAGCTCATAATAAAGTTTCCCACCTGGGGAATTGGCTGAAGCCCCTATCCCGACCTCTACTGGATCAACACGCTAACGGTGTCACTCTGTAGGTACTGGACCTCTCCTTCCATTTCCTAGGCGCCAGCCAAAATAGCCTCACTTGTTTTGTGGGAGGATGATGATGGTGAAGAAGATAACAGTGATGGTTGTGGTTGTGTTTAAATGCTGAGGTCAGACGACCACATTTGGAAGTTGGTTCTCTCCTTCCATCGCTGGTTACAGAGATCAAACTCAAGTTCTCAGGCCTGTGCCCCAAATGCTTTAACCCACTGAACCATTTCACCTCTACCCCTTGCTCGTTTCCCAGGCAACGGGTGGCAGTTGCACACCAGCCCTGCACAGTGTCCTGACGGGGGCAGCAATGCCACAGTCAACTCCAGAAAACAGGCAGGCTGTGCAGTAGAAGGGTTTGGCTTCATCCCTGTCTGCCCCTTCCTATACTACTGTCCAGTTCAGCACTGGGCTCCCTAATTCACATTTCCTTCCACTGTAAAAGGAAGAGAATAAAGTTCCCGCCTGGCAGCAGGCCAGCAGCACATAGCAGTTAAGAGGAGCATGAAGGAGCGTAAAGGCTACGGCAGTTCTAACTAGTGCCAGGGACTTCATCCTCTGCCACATCTCTAGCCAGATGCTGGCCCTCCATTTAAACACCATGGAGTATTCACTCCCTCCTGGACCCCCATGAGAGTATTTCCTAAACACTGTGCCCTTAAACCCTTGAGTCCTCTTAGACATGCTATACAGCACAGTGCCACTCGACAGACGGACAGACTGAGACTCAGGGTTAGGTCATCGAGTGATGGATCTGACGCAGATATCTCTTTGCAAGGCTCACCACCAGGCTGCGCTTGCCACCTGTGCTGGTTAAACCCATCTTGGATGGATGGAACTAGTCTGAGCCACAAGTCCCTAGAGGACCAGGCAAGCCTGGAGGTTCTGGCCTCAGCAGACAGTCGCTTCGAAATCTGAGCATTCTCTGCCCTAGGCCCTCTCCTAAAACATGTCTACACACACACACACACACCTTGATGTCCCCAGGAGGAAGCTTCTGGGGTCAGGACCTGGCAGCACTCCTTGGGCTAGGCTAGGCTCTGCAGCCATAGCCATAGCCATAGCCATAGCCATAACCATAGCCAGTGGTTGCTGAGGCTGCTACATCAGCGAGATAGAGGCTTCCCATTCAGCAGCTGACATGGCCTTCAGTTCTCCAAGGGCATCTGGGCACATTCCCAGCTAGCTCTGTGCGACTCGTCTGGGAGGGGCTGTGATCAGGGATGCTGATTTGGGGCCCTCTTGAGGCTTGGTGTTGTCCCTCTCTGGAAACCAGAGATGCCCAGCAGGCTCCACTCATACCCTGGAATGAAGTCCCACATCTTACCCTGCATAGGTGCTGATGGCTTGCAGCCAAGAACTAGATGTACCCCAGGGGTCTGCACTGTCCCATACCCTTGGAAATTACCTGGTCATGAAGAAACCAGGGCCTGGAGACCCACCAGGCCAGGGAGCTTCATGCTCCTGACTTAGCTCCTAACCACAGTCACCATGATCTAGGTGACTCAAAGAGTGGTGCCGGGGAGAGATGAGGGGTGAGATGTGGGGTGGGAGAGTCATCCGAGGATAGGCTCAGACCCCAGGGTGGCAACCCAGGCACCTGGCTTCTTATTGGGTGGCCTGTGTGGGACATGTCTGTTACCTGAGTTTAGTTTTCTCACCTGTGGAAAGGGGGCTGGGGGAGTAACAATGTCTCCCCTTGAGGGATGACAGTGATGATCAACTACCTTTCCCATGCTTGGTTGGAGGTGCTTCTGCCATCACAGCACTTCCTGTCCCCCCAGAAGAACACTGACACAACATTACCTCCCGCTTCCTGCTTCCACGAAAGCACTCCCCCATCTCTCTTGGAGGGCAGCTAGGGGGGCAGCCTTGTTGATTAGGGTTCTCTTCTCCATCAGCATGCTCCCCCTTCTCTCTCAGAACCCTCCTCTTCGGTCATTCTGAGCCTCTCACCCCACTTCCAAGGCTTCCCTTTCGGAGGTCCCTTGGCTGCCCTGCTCCCTCCTCAGCAACCAATACCTCTCATTCTCAGAGACTGACTGCCCGCTCAGAGCACCAGCATTAGCACCACTGGCCTTGGGTGTTAGGAGATGCAGAGCACTGTTCCTAACAAATCTAGGAGTCCTTGAGGACCAGGGACCTAGGATGTACAACTTGTTAGTCCAGAGTGACCACAAGGCCTAACTCACTGACAGTGGGGCTTATGTCTTGGTGCCAACTCATTGCTGCCAGCATCCCCGGGCCACCCTGTAGATAAATGCCAACGAGGTGATGGGAAAAGAAGACAGGTGGCCGAGTGTGGAGGGACAGGATAGAGTCGGGGAGACTGAGGACTGCAGCCCTTCTTGAGGGACATGAGGTCCTATAGCTTTCCGTTGTGGGTTCCTGATGCCTATCCACCAGGACAAGATAAAGGAGCTTCAAATACCCATGGAATCAGCTTTGCCCTCACACTTTCCTATGGGGCTGGCTCTTGTGGCCAGAAGTGAACAAGACAGCTGGAGATGAAATGGAACAGGTCAAAGACGAACCCTAAGCTTGTCTGTTTTCCCATTTGCCCGCCAATTCCCTACCCAGAAGAGGAAAGTTTGGCAACATGAAGAGTTTGCACTGTGGAGTCTGAAGCTACGGTTGTCAAGACCTCTTTTTGAAACACACAGCCCTGAATGGAGCCCCTTTATTTCCAGACACAGAAAGCGCCCTGCTGCTGAGTGCGCAAGCTGCGGAGGGAACAGAGGTTGATTCAGGTAACCGTTGGGGGGAAAAAGCTTCAGGGTCCCTCCAAAAACCAGTGGCCAATGACCACGTGAGCACTGGGAGAAGAATGTCATTGGCCGCTGGTGGAAACTCAGAAAGTACAGGGCATTGGCAGAGTCCTAGGTTAGACTGCCTGGGGTGACCTTGGCCTTACTTTTAAGCTCTCAGAGCTGCCTGGAGTCCTAAGGTGCCTGGGTTTAGTGGTCTTGTAATTGACTGCTTTGTTATAAAGTGAGGATTGGACTGCCAGTACTGTGTCTCACGCCCTCCTGGACGGTGGGTCCCGCCATCACCCCTTCAGTAGAGAAGAAAGGTAGGGTTCCTTATGGTTGACATCTGTCTGAGACCACCTACCCTGAAGCAGCAGAGCCATGATAGAAAAAAGGTCTGTCATTCCAGGGCCATATTCTTCGTAGCCTTCTTTTTAAAATGTGTGTGAGTACTTTGCCTGCAGACATGTCTGTGTGCTTAGTGCCCAGGAGGGCAGAAGAGGTCACCTGACTCCCTGGAGCTGGAGTTGTAGATGGTTATAAGCCACCATGAAAGTGCCAGGAGTCAAACCTGGTTCTCTTGAAAAGCACAACTTAACTGTTGAGCCATTGCTCCAGCCCCTACAGACACATTCTTAATCACAGCTTCATGGATATAGAAAATCCAGGGCGGGGGAGGGTGTCAGTGGCTTTTTCTCCAAACTCTGGGACCTCCTGGCCCAACACCTCTGGTCCCATACACCTCTCTCCATATCAGAAGCGGAGGGGCATCACGCCATCCTTGCGATCCCTGGCATTGGACCTATCCCTATTTGATGTGTATGGGAGCCAGGTCACCTGCTGCTTGGGGGGTGGAGGTAAGACTCTGGTTCTTGAGGACACCAAGTAGGACAGGGACATAGGATGGCTGGGAGAGATGGAAGAGAAAGAAAGAAAGAAAGAAAGAAAGAAAGAAAGAAAGAAAGAAAGAAAGAAAGAAAGGAAGGAAGGAAGGGAAGAGAGAGAAAGAAGAAAGAGAAAGAAAGAAAGAAAGAAAGAAAGAAAGAAAGAGAAGAAAGGAAGAGAGAGAAAGAAGAAAGAGAAAGAAAGAAAGAAAGAAAGAAAGAAAGAAAGAAAGAAAGAAAGAAAGAAAGAAAGAAAGGAAGGAAGGAAGAAAAGAAAGGGGAGGGAGGGAAGGAAGGAAAGACAAAGAAAGAAAAGGAAAGGAAAGAAAAAAGAAAAGACTAAACAACCCAAATCAACCAAAGAACAGTAACAAAGACAGCCAACTTCTCCCAGGTGAGTACCAGATTTCAAAGCGTGAGCACATCTGACCATTTCTCCAGGGACTGTTTGAGCAAGGCAAGTGCCCTGGTGAAGACCCTATCCTGGGACCATCTGGGGACCGAGCTGCAGCATCGACCCTCCATCTCCATCCTGTTTCAGAGGCACAGACAGAGGGCAGGGGCAGAGGCAGACTTGACTGGAAGTGCAGTCAGGCAGCCCCGAACTAGCTGGGGACTGCTCGGAGACTCTTCAGGTGAGCCTGTGGACCATAGGACTTACTCGGGTAGCGATAGTAAAATTCATTCTCCAGGTCGCTGGAAAGGTTCTTGGTCTTTTTCTCCAACCACCAGCTGGGATCCGCCTGGACGTCGTAGCGCACGAACACGCCGAAGAGAACCACCGTGATCAACTGCAAGACCAGGCAGGTGATGGGCAGCCGCCACCGGAGGTTGGTGTTCCAGGCCATGCTCCGCGCCGCCAGCCGCTCCACACGCCGGACTCCGAGACCAGGGCGAACCTTATAGGACCCGGGCACTGGGCGGGGCGGACGCGGAACAGCTGACCCTGGTGCCGCCCACGCGCCCAGGGTGCTACCCAACCGGCAAGAGTCCCGCGGGACCGCCCCGAGCCCAGCGCCCCTGGAAGGGAAGCTCCTGTTGATGGAGCAGGCCAGAAGGAAGGGAGTAGAACGCCCCGACTTCTGTGCATCCTGGAGGTGCCTGGCCTCCCCCAGCACACACACACGCCCCTTGTTCTGGTGAGTAAAGCGAGAGGGTGAGCTTCATTCAGATGAGAACGAAGAGTTCCCAGACTGAATCAATCCCCGCACCGCCACCAATCCCATCCCTTTTTTCCGAGGCGCTCTCCCTCTGGGATCTAGGCCGGTTTTGAACACCTTAGCCATCTTCCTGCCTCAGCCTCTCAAATGAACCACCACCACTTGACATCCTTCTTCTTTTCCAGTTGACGACATTCAAAGGAGACGCGTGAATGAAAAGCAAAGGAAACATGAGAAACGGTCACAAACCAGACAAGTCGGGGTGGGGGTGGGGGGGGCAGGTACCAAATAAAAACACAGGGAAGAAAATGGAAACCATCAGTACTCGGTCACCCAGGAGTCACGCTGGAATTTTGGTGTAGTCTTTCAAGCTTGTTAGAGAGGGCATAGGTACAGGAAGGAACGTTTTACTCTGTGATGTTATTCGCACATACTCATGTTACTCAGTAGTTCGTGAATAAACATCTTCCTGACTCAACATCATCACTTTATCTTTTTTTTTTTTTTCCCATGACATCACAAAGTTTCTCTTTGTAGCCCTGGCTGTCCTGGAACTCACTCTTCGCCCTTGTTTTATCTTTTTGAGGCCGAGTCTGTATTGTGGGCCAGGCTGACCTGGAACTCACTATGCTGGGCTTGCATTTACAGTGGTTCTCCTAAGTGCTGGGAGTACAGGCATTCTGCTACCAAACATGGGCTTTTTGTTTGTTTGTTTCTGTTTTGTTCTGTTTCATTGTGTTTGAGACAGGGTCTCTCTGTGTAGCCCCGGTAGTCTTGGAACTGTAATGTAGACCAGACTGGCTTCACACTCAGAGTTCTGGCTGCCTCTGCTTCCTCAGTGCTGGGATTAAAGTCCAGCTTTAGTTCTGTTTGTTGCTGTTATTTGTTTGTTTGTCTTGTCTTGTTTTGTTTTGTTTTTTTGAGACAGTATCTTCACTCAGTGACCAGGGCTGGCCTCCAGCCTCAGACTTTCAAGTACTGGGATTACAGGTCTTGAGCTACATATTCACTTTATTTTTATTTTTTTAATTAAACAATTTTTATAGCTGAAGAGATGGCTCTGAGGTTAAGAACATACGCTGCTTTTACAGAGGATACAAATTTTGTTCCCAGCACACACATCTGGTCCTCACAGCTGCCTGCAACCCCTGTTCCAGGAGGACCAAAAATGCCTCTGGTCCCTGCAGGTGCCTGGCACTCATAATTAAAAATAATAAAAATAAATATTAAAAATTAATAACTTCCTATTAACTTTTATTTCTCTTTAAGCCTGTGTAATGGCATGCTCATGTGAAGGCCAGGGGACAGCTCGTGGGAGCTGGAGCTCTCTTCCCACCATGTGGGTCTGGGGGGGCTAACTCAAGTCCTCGGGCTTGCTGGCAGGTGTCTTTACCAGCCGAGCCATCTTGCCAGGTTCAACAGCCCCTTTAAAAGCAAGATGACACCATGCTTGATCTAGCCAGTTCCTACTCCGGGACAGTATGGCTGGCATCAGTAGCCTGAACACACAGATGCAGAGGTTTTTGCACGCGCCCATGAATTCCTAGGGGCAAGATGATTGTCACACCTCATTAGATTTTCCCTAGGACATCCCCGCCACACAGAGCATGCACCCCACAGGCCAGAGGTGAGTCCTTCCCATGTGCTCCCCTCAGCATTGGATTTACAACCTCGTTTGCCAGGAGGTGACACATGAGGCTGAGTACTGGTGGTGTGTTGGGAACTCCGGACTTCCCAGCCATGCTCCACCATGCTAGCACGGAGCACCAAGGTCCCAGTCCTCAGCAGAGAATTCTCTTTGGTTGGCCATGACTTCATACTTATCTACAGCCTTGCCCAAACCTAAGTCACCTTCAACCATGGAATGACTTCACTGGAATCCATGGGCAGCCTCCTGCCTGATTCCTGAACCTCTCCTCCAGCCTTATGTCCTATAATTGTCAGAATGGTCCCTCTCCCAAACTTGTGCTGGCATTTCTTCCCTGCTGTGAAGTATCAATACTTGGGACCAGGGGTTGCCTCTCAAGAGGAGTGACTAGGGCAGGAGGACTCTGAATTAGTGGGTTCATGGCGATCTGAAGTGGCTGTTACGAAAGCCACCTTGACTGTCTCTTGGGGGTGCTCATTTCTCACTGTGTGAGGCCTCATACTGCCCAAGGACCCTGTAGACTACCCACCATCTAGAAAGCCCTCACCAGAGGGGCTCCCCGGACATTGGACTTTCCAGCTTCCAAAAGTGTGAGTTGAATAAACCTCAGGCGTTTTAAAATTTTAAATTAACCCTGCTATGGCATTCAGTAATAACCTCAGAAGTAGACTGACAGGACCCTTCCTCTTTCCCACATTCTCCCCTCTTTTTGCCACACTCTCTATCCTCCTTGTCACATCACTGCTGGTACCTATGTCCCCTGTTGAGATGCACCCTCAGCGCTCCTCCCTCTGTGCCCTGGACAGCATTCAAGGTCGAGGCCATAGACATCCACTACCGACAGTTCTAAAGGCACGGAGGCCCGGTCACTCTGGACCTGAGGTTGAAGGTACCAAGGGCAGGGGATTTTAGGATGAGGTGGGAAGGTGCACAGCTCTCTAGAGTCATGGGGACTGGAGAGATGGCTCAGCAGTTGAGAGTACTTGCTGCCCTTGCTGTGGACCCAGGCTTGGTCTCCGGCACCCACATGACAGCTGAGAAGCAGGTGTGCTCACGGAGGCCACAAGAGTGTATCAGAGCCTCTGGAGCTAGAGTTACAGCCAGCTATGAGCCACTCAACATGGGTGCTGGGAACAGAACTCAGATCCCTTGGAAGGAAATGCTCTTAACTGCTGAGCCATTTCTCCTCACCCCTCACCTCCAGAAGGGATGTCTTATTTCAAATCCCCCTATCTGCAGTGCAGCGTAGTGAACAGGTAAGTATCTGGGAATGCTTCAAAAGATGAAGGAAGGAGGATGTACTATTCTCTAAGCACCTACTGTATGTCAGGTTCTGTGCTATGCCCCAGGGTATAGCAGGGAATGAAAGAGGCCAAAGTGCTTGACTTTGGAGCCAGCATTCCAGGGACAGTGGAGGAGGCTGACACCCATGAACATGGTGCGTAAGTGGGGTAGTCTCCCTATCTGTTGTCCCATTCTACTCAGTTATCTGCATTCAGCTGGGATCCAAAACCATTCAGTGAAGGGCTGGAGGGGTGGCTCTGTGGTTAAGCTTATTTCTTATCCTTCTAGAAAGATCTAAGCTCAATTCCCAGCACCCACATCAGGGGGCTTACAGCTGCCTATAATTACAGCTCCAGGGGATCTGGCTCTTCTGGCTCCACAGGTAGCCCCCCACACACACACACATACATGCACTTGATTTTAAAAATTAAAATTAAAGTAAGCCAAAATATATTCAATGAAAACTTCCAGTTGTAAACAATTCATAGATTTTAGGTAACTTTTATTACAGTGCATTGTTATACACATCTTATTTTATTGTTCATTATTGTTCATTTCTTACCGTGCCCAACTAGTAAATTAAGCTTTATCACACTATGAATATATATACAGAGATCACAATTATAGAGAAAGGTGGTATAAATGGGGTTTGGCACCATTTGCGGTTTCAGACATCTGAGAACTATCTGGAAGGTAAAGCAGGGAGGACATGAGGGTGTGGGTAAGTAGAGCAGGAAGGAAGACAGAAAAGAAGGCTGAAGATACTGTGGATAGGGTGGCAGGGAAAGGTCAGAGGGAGAAAAGTTCATTTTTTCCCCTAAGCCCTGCTGCCAGCTCTCCCAGTGCCACCTGCTACATTTTGAAGCTACCACCCTTCTCCAAATACCCCCAACAGCTGTCCCTTTCCTGGTCTGGCTTCCACATTTTTGTGGGCCAAACTCTCAGTTTCTCCCTCTAGTGGCAGAGAATTCTGATAGCCCTGGGAGAAGAAACTAGCTACCGTCCTGGAAGTCTAGGAATGTCATCTTCGAGGACACCTCCAGCTAACATAATGCCAGGTCTGCAGGTTGCCAACTTGGGTGAGACCGGGTTCTCTAGAGTATCTGGCTTCGTGGAGCTAAAGTTAGAGAATACAGAAGCGTAAACCAGGAGGCTCCTCAGCCCTCATGCTATCTCACTCTCTCCCATCCCATCTCCACATATCTATTTCTTTGTTTCTCTTTGTGTTATATGTACTTATTTGTTTGTCTAGGGTCTGTCTCCTGGCACTGGAATATCAGGCCTGAGATAAAAGGCACCAAGAAGAGAGCCTAGCTCCATGCCAGGTCTGATAGGGCATACCTGTGAAGGCAGGAGGATTAGGAAGTCAAGGTCATCCTTGGCTACATGTTGACTTTGAGGCCAGCCTGGGATATATGACAGTGAGGGAGGAGCGGGGCACTGGGAAGGTGGCTCAGCCGGTGAAGTGTTTTCTGTGCAGGCATGAAATTCTGAGCTTAGATCCCGGGATCCGCATAAAAAGCCAGGTGTGATGGCGTGCACCTGTAAGCTCAGTGCAGGGGGCGCAGAGCCAGGAGGCTGTCCAGGCTTACTAGCCAAAAGTCAGTGAGCTTCAGCTGCAGTGAGAGACTCTGTCTATAAAATAAGACACTGAACAATTGAAGAAGGTCAGTTCATACTGACCTCTTGCCTACACATACATGCACATACATATGAACACATACATGAATATGTATAAATACTCATATTACAGGAGAAAGGG